TTCAGAGAAGAAAGAGAACAGCTGAGAAGCTTGAACGAGAACTTCAGAGAAGCTCGGAGAAGAACTTCAGATAAGCTGGGAGGAGAACTTTAGAAAAGCTCGATGGAGAACTTCGGAGAAACTGGGACGAGAACTTCAGAGAAGCTGGGACAAAAACTTTAGAGGAGTTTGGAAGAGAACTGCAGAGAAGATTGGAGGAGAGCTTCAGATAAAGTTGGAAGAAATCTTCAAAGAAGCTCAGAGAAGAGCTTCAGAGAAGTTCGGAGGAGAACTGTAGAGAAGTTTGGAGGAGAACTTCAGGTAATTTTGGAGGAGAATTTCAGAAAAGTTTGAAGGAGATCTTCAGAGAATTTTGAAAGAGCACTTTAGAAAAGCTGGGAGGAGAATTTCAGTGAAGCTGGGACGTGAATTTCAGAGAAGTTTAGACGAGAACTTCAGAGAAGCTCAAAGATGAACTTCAGAGGAGCTGGGACGAGAACTTCAGAGGAGTTTGGAAGGGAACTACAGAGGAGTTTGGAGGAGAACTTCAAAGAAGTAGGAGGAGAACTTCAGAGAAGTTAAGAAGAGAACTTCAGAGAAGTTATGAGGAGAATTTCAGAGAAGTTTGAAGGAGAATTTCAAAGAAGTTTGAAGGAAAAACTTTAGAGAAGAGAACTTCAGAGAAGTTTGCACGAGAACTTCAAAGAAGCTGGGACGAGAAGTTCAGAAAGCTTGGAGATGAACTTCAGCGAAGTTTGGACGAGAACTTCAGAAAAGCTCGGAGGAGAACTTCAGAGAAGCTCGGAGGAGAACTTCAGAGAAGCTCGGAGGAGAACTTCAGAGAAGCTCGGAGCTTAGTTCAGAGTTAAGTTAAAAGAAGAACTTCAGAGAAGTTCGAGGGAGTGCTTCGGATAAAGTTGGAAGAAATCTTCAAAGAAACTCAGAGAAGAACTCCAGAAAAACTCGGAGGAGAATTTCAGAGAAGTTCGCAGGAGAACTACAGAGAATTTTGAAGGAGAACTACAGAGTAGCTGAGAGGAGAACTTCAGAGAAGTTCGAAGGAGATTTTCAGATGAGATCAGAGGAGAACTTAAGAGAAGGTTCCACCAATGACCTTATTTTATAATTCTATATGTGTGCAGTGCTGGCTAAAATCAAGTTCAGAAAATCAAAATCAGCAATCTTTCAAGATCAAGATCACCTAAAATCACAGGCACCAATATCACAAGCCATCATCACTACGAAAATCACACGTGATTTTCGACCAATATCAGCCGTGATTTTCGACTCTCAAAATCGACCAGCATCAATATCAACCAAGATCAAAATCATCGAAGATCGTAGAATTATAAGATAATGTGAAATTCTAGCGTTTGGGCAATTCCGAAATTCAAGTCAACATTCCGGATGAAATTAAAATGGTGGATTTCAAACCAAGATGGCTCCCACAAATCTAAGATGGCGGACCAAAATCCAATATGGCGGCCCCTGGACAGGAAATATGCATCTAAACCCATGCAATATGGGTATTTATGAAATGGGCTCGATGAAGGGAAGTGGAAAATTGACATCCGCTGCCATTTTGAAATGCAAGATGGCAGTACAAAATCTAATATTGCGGCCCCCGGAAAGGGAATATTCATCTAAAACCATGCAATATGGGTATCTGCGGAATGGGCTCGATGCGTGAAAGTATATTAAATGACATCCACCGCCATTTTGGAATGCAACATGGCGGACCAAAATCCAATATGGTGGCCCCAGGACAGGGAATATGCATCTAAACCCATGCAATATGGGTATCTACGGAATGGGCTCGATGAGGGGAAGTGGAAAATTCACATCCGCCGCCATTTTGGAATTCAAGATGGCGGACCAAAATCCAATATGGCAGCCTCCGGACAGGGAATATGCAGCTAAACCTATGCAATATGGGTTCCTGCGTTATGGGCTCGCTAAGCAGAAGTGGAAAATTGACATCTTCTGCCATTTCGGAATTCAAGATGGCGAACCAAAATCCAATATGGCGGCCCTGGACAAGGAAAATGCATCTAAACCCATGTAATATGGGTATCTATGGAATGGGCTCTATGAAGGAAAGTGGAAAATTAACATCCGCCGCCATTTTGAAATGCAAGATGGCAGTACAAAATCCAATATGGTGGCTCCCGGACAGGGAATATGCATCTAAACCCATGCAATATGGGTATCTACGGAATGGGCTCGATGCGTGAAAGTATAAAAATGACATCCACCGCCATTTTGGAATGCAACATGGCGGACCAAAATCCAATATGGCGGCCCCTGGACAGGCAATATGCATCTAAACCCATGCAATATGGGTATCTACGGAATGTGCTCGATGAGTAGAAGTGAAAAATTTACATGCGCCATCATTTTGGAATCCAACATGGCAGAACAAAACCAATATGGCGGCCCCTGAACAGGGAATATTCATCTAAACACATGCAATATGAGTATCTACGGAACGGGCTCGATGAGGGGAAGTGGAAAATTGACATCCGCAACCATTTTGGAATCCAAGATGGTGGACCAAAATTCAATATGGTGGCCCTCGGACAAGGAATATGCATCTAAACCCATGCAATATGGATATCTCGAGCCCATTCCGTAGATACCCATATTGCATGGGTTTAAATGCATATTACCAGTCCGGGGGCTACCATATTGGATTTTGGTCTGACATCCTGGATTCAAAAATGGCGACGGATGTCGATTTTCCACTTCCTCTCATCAAGCCCATTCCGTAGATACACATATTATATGGCTCTAGATGAATATTCCCTGTCCGGGGGCCGCCATATTGGATTCCAAAATGGCGGCGGATGTCAATTGTTCACTTCCACTTAGCGAGCCCATTCTGCAGAATCCCTATATTATTGGTGAAGATGCATACTCCTTGTCCGGGGGCTGCCATATTGGATTTTGGTTCACCATCTTGAATTTCCAAATGGCGGCAGATGTCAATTTTTCACTTCCACTAAGCGAGCCCATTCCGTAGATACCCATATTGCTTGGGTTTAGATGAATATGCCCTGTCCGGGGCCGCCATATTGGATTTTGGTCCGCCATCTTGAATTCCAAAATGGTGGTGGATGTCGGATTTTTATTTTAACTGTAATACCAATCTTTTTCTTTTCCGTTTGGTTTTTGTTACCACAAAATCAGCTAAGGTTAAAATCAGCCTTGATTTTATGCTGTGTGATTTTGCTGATCTCAAGATCAGCAGTGATTTTCGACCGTTCCTGATTTTGGATTTTCTTGATTTTTTCCATCACTGTATGTGTGGCATGAAGATGCTCGGAAGAATCTGACCACTTCCCTCATGGTACCCAAAACTTGTCCAGATTTGGACAACCTGGTCCTGAGTACTTAATACTACCTTGGATGATTATTTTTTTCACATAGTAAAATGGTTATGGTTATGGTTAAGCCAAATCGAATAAAATGCCAATTTTGCGCAACGTGCTCATTGTGGGTTGTCAAACGGATTTCAGCAGTATATTGGAAATTTGATCTTGTTTTCCTTGCTAAGCACCAATGCTAGCGACGCCAAGGAGGCAGCTCCCACACCTTGACCCTACCTATCGACCCATCAACTCATGAACCGGGGACCAACGGCTTTACTTCCCTTCCGAAGGAAGGCGTGATCAGAGATGTTATGCCTCAAAACATCCCGGTGGCGCCGACTGGGATTTAACCCAGGCCTGATGATTTTCCTAAAAAATATCATCATGGAATTCACTAATGACATCTCAAGAGCTATTCTCGTAACAATGTTGCATACTAGATCGATTGAATGTATAGAAACGCCAAAGTGATCCGATGCCAGCGATGTGGTGGGGAATTAGCGAATCTAATCACATTTAAATTGATCGTTAAATGCGTGTACGACGGTTGAGATGTCCAAGCAACGTTTTTAGTGTCATTGTGGTTTGTGGATGTACCTCTTTATACTCAATCAACGTGACCTAACCTCAAAATTAATGTTGAAGTTCATTTTGTGCAATTAGAAAAACGAGCAGTGAAAAGCAAACCAACCATTCCTAAAAGTTTCCTTTCAAATACACGCACACACACAGGCACACAGACATATAAACCTGATGTTGTTCGTTTGCCCAATTGAAAAAAATTCCCTCCAGACCCCACGAATCGAGGTTAGACCTAAAGTTGGTCTTTCGCTTTGCACGTCGGACCTGACCTCTGAAGCAGAAGCAGAAGAAGAAGGAGAAGTAAAACAAAACAGGAGGCTTCCAATGGCCAAACAAAGCCGACGTTGGGAGCGTTTTTCCGCACTTTGAAACTCTCCGAAACAGACACACCAGGGCCGGTCCGGTCGATGTTGGTTTTACCGTGAACGGATGATGAAAAACTCTTCCGCCTTTTCGGACGTTTGATGAAAGAGAAATTCAAACAAGCGAAAGTCCATTCCCGGCTGCAGTGGTGGAGTCTTCTGCTTTGACCTGGAAACCACATACCTCTTTTTTTTTATCAGATAACAGTAGCAAAAAAGCGAGCCGAATAGATCACAGACAGCAGATGTGGCTCCCGAGCAGCATTCTGAAGGAGGATTAGTGCATAGAGGAGCATTAGTGCGCTGGCTGGCATGACTTGACCAGGAATTGTTTGAATGGTGCGAGGAAGATGAAGCGGAGAAGCACTAGATGTAGTCAGTGATGAAATTTTCGGAGGCAGAATTGCTAATTTAAATCCACATCAGATATTGTTTCTCATTAACTCTAGCCGACAAATGCAACTCGCATCTCTTGAACATCATCAGCGAGCTTACAATGATATTTCGCTTCGCAGTATCATTTGAACGTTATTTCACAGAACAGCATTTTTCTCCCACACACATGCTCTTTAAAATCCAATCAATTCTGTCAGCACCGACTACAACCTTCGTTAATCTGTTGAGAGATGTTCCGAACAAAAAAAAATGGACCAGCACTCCAAAAGGCGATTAAAGATAGCGTTGCAGCTGCTGGGGATATACTTACGGTACATATCTAGCTCGATCTTGCTGTACAGAGGGGGCACCAGTTTCGTGTTGGTGGCCTTGCAGGTGAACACCGAGTGCAGATGATGACGTTGCACAGACTGCCACAGAAGCCGGTTCTCGATGACGTTGCCGGTGTTTTGCTCGATCTGATTATCTACCAGATTATCGTTGATAAACCAAAGCACGTCGGGCTGTGGCCGTCCTGCCGAGAAAAGAGAGTGACCGATATGAATGCACGGTTTGTACGGGATTAAATGGCAGGGGATGGAAGAGGAGTGGTAGGAGCATTTGGATGGAGTTTGCAAAAATGAAAACTTTTTCTAACTTTTCTTTCTGGTACGTGACTTGAATGCAGGGGTTTCAAAAAATATATGCAAAACTTAACCTCTTAGGGGTTCGGTAGGAGACTTTGCCCTAAGTATGTGCACCTCTTCAAATCATGTCCATTTAGCTATTTTTAACGCATGCATTTCATTAAAATGGCCACTGGTCAACCGTACAAATCCTACATATAAATCGAAGTCCTCATCCAATATCTATTCTAGTTCCAGCGATTTGAATAAAATATTCACTGATCCCTGCAAACTCAACACGTCCCGTGTGGCGTTCGGGGCAAATATTTAATGCATTCCTGAAACGGTCACCTGTCGTCCTGCCGAGCCGTAGGTAGCCATGCATGTCCTGCGGGGCACGAATGAAGAAATATCACAACCAGCATCCCGAACTCTGAAGGCAAAGAACCCCACCAGGCAGAAGTGTGCGCATGGACGGGGAGTATTTAATTTAGACTGGGTTTAAAATTAAAAATAAATAAAAGATTATTTTCCAATCTGCTTGCTGGCATACGACGGAAACCACTCTAAACAAACACGTATCGAACCGGTGGTATGTATTTATGAGTTTGTATTCTGTGCATGCGTGGGTGGAAGCGTACACAGCACGTCCCAACTGGAACTTTGCGTCCGCCCTCAACTTATTGTTCTTTGGGCACATCAACAGTTGAATCATGATCCTGGATCGGAGCGGGAATCGAACTCACCCCGTTCAGCATGTTCTGGTGTTTCAACTGACTAGACCAAGCGAGAACCCTTGCTCCTTCGAGTGGCAAATATGAGGAGTGTGTCGGTACGTCACCAGCCAGTCAGATCGGTTGGGTTGAGTTACCGAGAGATGCGTGGGTGCGATGTTTCTTTATGTAGATTGACGTTTTCTCGATGAAATTTGGAGCTTGACGAGAGACGTGACTGTTTGGAAACCATTTAAAGAGAATCCTTAAAGTTTCTCGAACGTAAATTGAGTTTTGTAATTTGATTTACTTTGAGTTGTTGCACGAACAACTTAGACACTGAGAGTTGTTTATGTCTTGAAGCGAGATAGACCGACTCCCTTTCAGTAGACTGCTTGCCGTTGATATGTTGGATGCTGTGAGGAGAAAAACAGTTACAAGGTCATACCCACGACGGGGAAAAGGGGATTATTCGTTGCAATGGAGGACTGCAACGATTTTTGTCGGCAATTTTTAATTATTTTATTGGAAATTTCAAGCTGAACATTGCATTAGGTCCTAAGTAACATTGACAGATTCTCTTCGTCGACTTTCTCTTTGCATCCCCACTGCCATGTTAAGAAATACCCAGGTATTTTCAACACATAGATCGATAAAAGAAGCTTTTATCTAGCATCTATTTAATACGACAAACACATCAAGAAACGGTTCTGTGATCAAGTTATTAACAAAAGAGAAAGTTGACGAAGAGGATCGGTCAATGTTACTTAGGACCTAATGCAATGCTCAGCTTGATTTGCTTGCACTTCGATAGTACCATAGAGGTAACTCTTATACCAGAAGGTCCCGAAGAAACGAGCTCAACTTTTTGGTTCAGCTCTGGTACTCTCTTCGGTCCCAAGCTAATCGATGCACCCCTCGAAACATAGGAAAATCCACAAATCCACATCAAAACAAACATAGTGTAGTACTGGTATTGATACTAGAATGGGGTACGTTAATCGATTTGCTTGGGACCAATTTAAAATCGTTAATTTCGAATTGATTGTTGGTAGTACTGTACCAAGGAGGCAACTTCTAAATCATCTTCAGAACTTTGGTCTGAATTCTTTGAAGTGCTTTTTTCCTGGTAGTGCAATAACGAGGCCATATTGGCACAGCGTAAAGCATGGCCGTCTAAAAACTTGATTAAATATTAGAAGCTTATTCTTCAGCTTAGTTTGGATTTCCTGTTTATAATAGAATGCAAACATTTTATATATTTGTTACATTTGGCTTGAATGTCCTAAGCGTGCTCTTAAAAAGTTAATTTTTGATTAAGTACTAATACAATATATTTCACTTGACTTGACCAAGAAACTGGAACTTCGTTCATACCCAAGTAACAAATCTAGAGCTGCTTGGTTTTATTTGAATTTCATAAAGGTTTTATTGTAGCAACAGCAATTTCCAATAGTTTATGATGGTCATATACATTGTCAAAAAGGGTAAGTAATATAAAATGCTATAAACTTTCTACAAAACCCTAATAAATCATATTATGGAACCAACTGATGCTAATGCTAATAAGATTTATGAATGGTTTTATGGTTGCTTTATAGTATCTGATGAGCCAATTTGAATTGCTCCCATTTAACCTAACTACCAACCCAAGTAACAATTTCGGTTATATAAGGGTTCTATAGATCATGATTTAGACTTATAGCATGCTTTAAAACCTCCATAAAACTTGCAATGTTACTTGGGAATCCCAATGTTGGTTTATAAACAGCCGCAATAAAACTAGTTGGCTATGAGGCATCTGTTTAAAAATTCCAACTTGTCAAAATTGAAAACAACCGGCGCCACTAAAAACTTTTTCCACCATGGATTTATGAAAAAGAATCAAGGTTTTTTATTTTCCTTTGGTTTGTTTTTTCCGTCGATCTTGTTTTCCGTGCTGAGCACCAATGCTACCGACGTGCCAGGAAGGCAGCTCCCACACCTGGACCCTACCTATCGACCCATCAACTCATGAACCGGGGACCAACGGCTTTACTTCCCATCCGAAGGAAGGCGTGATCAGAGATGTTATGCCTCAGAACATCCCGGCGGCGCCGACTGGGATTGAACCCAGGCCTGCTGGGGTGAGAGGCAATCACGCTTACCACTACACCACCGGCGCCGTTAATCAAGGTTTCTGTACTTTAAACTGAAATATACACATGAATTTTAACAAAATTGTAATCATGAACCCACTTTTGTAAATGAAAGTGCTTCAGTTGGAAGCATCATCAACAACAAGAACAAGTTCTTATGTGTTTTCTTTGGATGTCGGAGCTGCCGTCGCAATGCTGCCCTGATAATGACGAAGAGCAAAAACTTCCGAAACTGCGCCTCTAACCATACCTGTTCGAATTAGCATTGAACGAGCTATCGGATGTCGCTAGTCTGTCTGACTTTGAGAACATTATTGTTTGTTTATTAATTTATTTGAAAAGGCTTAACCGAATGAACTTTACAGAGCCGAGGATTCTTGTTCACTATACATTGCATCTTAAAACTATAGCCAAAAGGTACAACACAATAAACATTTTATCTTCCGCTATCCAATAAGCCTTCTCCATCAGAACGGGAGCCGCTTCCAGTGGTTTAATTGTATGGCAGATTTGCCAACGGGTGTCAGAGCGCATCCATTGCAGCAATGGACGCAAAACGTGGTCAGCACTCACACGTTCATCACGAAACGGTTTGCTTTCCAAAGTCGACGACGCATCGAATGAAAGAACTGCTGATGAAGAACAATGAGGAGGACCATGCTTGGCATGCACAGTTGTACACACCAACTGCTAATTTGTTAAGAACTTTTAACTCAGTTGTTGAAATTTAGTTTTCTTTAAGGTAATTGATAGATTAGGATCATAGTTTACTGTAGACATGCAAAGAGTAGCTAAATCTTATCATTTGAATCAACACGGATGAATTTTTACACTTAAAGTCCGAGATGTGCCGTGAGCATTTTTCACTTCATTCTTGCAACGTAAAATCAAATACAGTCTATTACTAGAATTAAAATCTCCTTTTTTAAATATTTATAAAAAAGTTTAAACTCTATTTTATCGACTGCTTCAAACAGAACTATGTTTCGTCAACTCTGTGCAAAGTTATTAGCAAATGAGCAGTTTGTGAGCAAAACTGTCTATGCCAAGCATGAGGAGAACCACACAATGGTTGCTGCATAGTAAACTGACGATCGCGTGACACACATCGAGAGTGGTCTGCTTCTGTCGACAGCCGAGTGCACACTCAAGAACATTATTGGAAGATTTTTAGTTGATCTGAAACGGTAATGTTGTTCGAGACTAGATGCAATGCTGGCATGATGAAGAAGAAATAGAACTATTGTCGAAAACATCATTGCTTTGCGTAATTACTGCCAACAACTCAATGTTCATATTGGGTTATGGAAATTTTTACCCATAAAAAAAAGTCCAAGGATTTTCGGTAAAATTATAGATAAATTGAAGGTCTGAAATTAATTTCGGTCTACTTACATATTATTGAATGTGGTAAGATCGACTCTCAAGGAAATTAAGGTAAACTAATCGAATTAAGTTTTGTTTCAATTCACTTTATTATGAGAATCTGCATTATTTTGGTGGCGAATTAATGTAAGGCTCCTATCATCTCAATAAACACTATACAATTTAAGGTACATATGCATTAGAACAAAAAAGCTTCCATATTGCACACAAGATCTTTAATTTATGCAACCATTAGACTGATGCAAAATTTGAAATTTTCGCTCCACAGTGCTCAAACGATTCCAAATTGGGTCCTTCTTAGCCTCCAAAAATTTGAACTACTTTAATAAGAATCTGACTTGGCACAAACCATTTCAAGTTTATATGGGAATTACTATGGGAAAACTTATGTTTTTGTTTGTATCTATCTAACAATTCACCACATCACTGTGCTTTCAAAAATGAAAAAATGATAGCAGTGCTTGTAGCAATTTTTTTAGCTACAACTTTGTTGAAAACCACTTTTCAATCAAATGCACGAAACAAAAGTTATTAATGATTCAAGTTACTGATGTTTTATGATTATGCTCATTCAACTGTTCAGCAGGCAACATTGGTATTTCTGGTGAGAAGAATAGAGCACACATATCATGGCTACTATGTCACACTGCAGAATACAGTGTTGCTAACAGA